AATATTATAAAACATAAATTTAGGTTTCATAAAATGACATTTCTCTCAAAGTGAAATAAGTTTTGAGTGGTATCTTCAATAATATTCATTCTTTTGGAGACAGCGGTTGCTCTCTGAAGACCATGTCTCAGTTTTGCTGAATGCGGTTGTTCTTTTGTCCTACAGAGACCGTTCTGTCAGCACTGGCTGCTCCAATGATGCCTGTAATCAGAGGGATCGTGTCAAGGCTGGCTCCAGCTCACATTCAGGGTAACACTCATCATTCTTCTCATAAAATCTCATAAAATATGGGGGCCCGTGGGTAGCCTAGTGGTTAAAGCGTTCGCTCGTCACGCCAAAGACCTGGGTTCGATTCTCCACATGGGTACAAAATGCAAAGCCTATTTCTGGTCTCAGTCGGATATTGCTGAAATATTGCTAAAAGCGGCGTAAAATCATACACACTCACTGAACCACGTGATGACTATCTGTTGATGGTTGTGTTACGTCATACACTGATGTTAGTTTCATTCGCTCAGGCTCTTTGTTTGCGGGACTGACCGTGGCGGGGGCTGTGGCGACTATGTTGGGGATGACGATATACGGGGCCGTGTACGACGCAACCGTGGAGACGATGCGCGGATTTGTCTACTACACCAGCGGTGGAACACGCGCCCTGACAGCCGCCATACTTGTGTAAGTAGGAAAAGCCATTATACTTCGTAACGTGTATCCATAGAGGATATGTGTAGATTCTGTTTCATAGCAATCATGTTCACAAGGGTTAATGCATAATGAGATTTTATTGCTGTGAAGTGTGACAAGTGTTGATGTATAGCAATAGTGTTATAGGGTGTTTTATTGACGTAAAGCAATACTGTTATAGGGTGTTCTATTGACGTAAGAATGCTATTACAGGGTGTTTTATTGACGCATAACAAAACAGTTACATGGTGTTTAGTAACGTAAAACAAACCTGATACAGGGTGTTATTGACGTTTAACAAATGCGTTACAGGGCATTTTATTTACATGTGTATTAACGTATAACAAAACTGTTACATGGTGTTTTATTAACGTAAAGGAATGTTGTTACAGGGTGTTTTATTGACACATAACAAAACTGTTACATGGTGATTGTTTTAAGGTAAAGGAATGCTACTACATGGTGTTTTATTGACACATAACAAAACTGTTACATGGTGTTTTATTACCGTAAAGGAATGATATTACAGGGCGTTTTTGGACGCATAACAAAACTGTTGCATAGTCGGCTTTTTTAGGGTAAAGGAATGTTGTTACAGGTTGTTTTACTGACACATAACAAAACTGTTACATGGTGTTTTATTAACGTAAAGGAATGCTATTACAAGGTGTTTTTGGACGCATAACAAAACTTTTACATGGTGTTTTTTCAGGTAAAGGAATGCTATTACAGGGTGTTTTATTGACACATAACAAAACTGTTACACGGTGTGTTTTTAAGGTAAAGGAATGTTATTACATGGTGTTTTATGGACGCATAACAAAACTGTTACAGGGTGTTTTACTGCGTGGCGCCGGGGATACTACGCCAGATCAAAACCGAGACGATCATTATCAACGACCAGGACGAGAGGGCACACATCGCCAGACCGTCCGAAAAGCCAGTTCTTGACTCTTAGGTGTAATATTGCAAATGGATCTGGGACTATGTGGAAATCATTCGTGTTAGGGTCTAATCCTTGTGGACATATGGCTATACTTAACCTATGAATTCTAGCTTTTGGAATAGCTGATGATCTGACTATAGAAGACTCAAAAGTGTTACTATTACACTGAGTGAGGGAGTATGGTTTTACGTCACTTTTAGCAATAATTTAGCAATATCACGGCGGGAATACCAGAAATGGGCTTCACACATTGTATCCATGTAAGAAATCAAACGTTTTAATTATTTATATATAATATATAAATATTATGCAATATATATATATATATTGCATAGATAAATAAAAACAGAATGCCTTTTTCTCCAACATGTTTCGTTCTTTTACTCTTCAGGAGATTGTGAATCTCCCTGAAGAGTAAAGAACGAAACATGTTGGAGAAAAAAAGGCATTCTGTTTTTATTTATCTATGCAATATTTATGACTGAACACCTGTACTACTTTGGACATTTTGTGCGTATATATATATATATATATATATATATATATATATATATATATATATAAATATACTCATGGAATAAAAATAAGGGAACACATGAAAGTGCATGTGTTTATTTATTTATTTCCAGAATTTCACCCACGGTGCAATACATACCTTGTGAACAAACCTGGAAAAGAATAAAGGAACACCTGTCCTTTGATGTGTTCCATTATTTGTTTCCATGAGTATATATTTTAATGTGTATGGGGACGGCGGGATAGCCTAATGGTTAAACGTCCTCTGAAAACCCGGGTTCGATTTTCCACATGGGTACAAGGTATGAAGTCCCCTACAGTGATATTGCCATACTCACTCACTGTAATGTGTATGATGACTTACGTTATAATGTTATGAGCGCTATGAGAGATTATCTTACCTCACACATAAATGTTGCTTTCTGAGTGGCTGAGCGCTCTTCTATTATTTTCAATGTACCCTTCTTACAAGCGAGTAACATTTCAATGTACCCCGCTGTCAATGGCAACTCATTTGGTACTTCGTGGTAGTAATTCTTTATCTCGAATAACATTGAATCACGTATGATGTACGGAAATTACCGATGTTTTTCGAATGCAAATTTTCTTGTCAGCAAAATCTAGCGATGGCTACACAAATATTTATACCCTCGATGTTTGTTTATGTTCCCCCCGCCCTTCGGGCTCAAGGAACATAAACAAACATCGAGGGTATGCCCCCCTCGTGACCAGTGAACAACTTATAATGTACGTCAGGTTTCTTAAACTTACCTTCACCTGATATATTTATCACATTACTCAGATGTGAAGTAAGCTATTATAATCTTTGTAAATTAACTGATCAAATGTTGACACTCATTTAATCTTTGCACTTGTATGTGGTAATTCTGCTTGGGAATAATTTATATAATTCGTTTGTGGCACGAATAGACTGCGTGCATGGAAAGGGGAGGAGGGGCGTTGTTGAAAGGTATGTCGTGATTCTGTACGTGATTGTATATAGTATTTAGTGTATGTGTTAGTGTGTGTGTGTGTGTGTGTGTGTGTGTGTGTGTGTGTGTTAGTGTGTTTGTGTGTGTTAGTTAGTGTGTTTGTGTATTATAGTGTGTGTGTTTGTGTGTGTTAGTGTTAGTGTGTGTGTGTGTGTGTGTGTGTGTGTGTGTTTGTGTGTGTGTGTGTGTGTGTGTGTGTGTGTGTGTGTGTGTGTGTGTGTGTGTGTGTGTGTGTGTGTGTGTGTGTGTGTGTGTGTGTGTGTGTGTGTGTGTGTGTGAACATATTGTCGTAACTTAACACTGACCATTTGTAGGTATATGTATATGTGTTTATCTATCTTACTCTGATGTATGATTATATACACATTGCCGTTCCAGGCTGGATGTTTTCATTGTCTGTGTACGTATTCTACCATGAAGTGCATATAACATGTGACACTATAATAAACATTATTTTCTCTCTTCTCTCTTAACTTGTAAGACGTGTTTCATTATATTTCCTGACTTTGACGGAAACATCCATCAGAAGCAGAATCTATGTATATTGTTAAATGTATACGATGGTCAGTGTTTTAAAAACGCTGTGGCTCGTGACCAGTGGTATGTTCAGCAATGAGTGCAATAGATAAGTCAGCCAGGATAGTTCAAGACTGACTGTCTGACTGAGTTTGGTTTTACGCCGCTTTTAGCAATATTCCAGCAACCTCACGGCGGGGGACACCAGAAATGGGCTTCATACGATAGCTCAAGAATACAACACACGGTAAAGTGTGTTTATAATAAACTGACGAAAACAGTTATGATGAAGTAAAAACCGTGACCCTGTGAGTTTGTGATAACCGTAGTATGCTAAACGTAGACTGTCCATATACATAGATTTGTGGCTGTCAGTGTTATCACTAATGTGATAAGAAATTCGGTAACCGAGTGTGTTGTCACTGAACATGATGAGATTACGCCTCCACAGTCAGCCAGGGAAGCTGAGTAGTTAAAGCGTTCGCTAGTCACGCCGAAGATACATGATACAGTGTGGGAAGCCCATATCTGGTGTCTGAGGCCGTGATATTTCTGGAATACCATACAACGGCGCAAAACCATATATATCCCTTGTTTGATAGGCATGCTGGAAGGCAGTGAGTCAAAACTGATCATACGACTTTATGGACAACTTCTTGTAATATTGTGTCCAAGCTATTTAAGATTGTTACCTTAATTACAAGAGGATGTTGTTCTTTTAACAGCTTTTATTCACTCTTTGTGTTGCCGGCGCAAACAAAAATATTTGTCACTTCGTCAAGAAACTTTGGCCACAGATCTTCAGTCTTTGTCAAAGTTCTGGTTCTTGGAGCTTGCTTCTTCGTACGAAAATTGGTGACAGTTAGACAAGAAACAGTCTGTAAATAATCGAGTCTGGACCAGACAATCCAGTGATGCATAGCATGAGAATCCATCTACGATGAGCGAACCTGACCACCCGATCCCGTTAGTCGCCTCTCACGACAAGCATGGGGTACTGAAGACCAATTCTAACCCGGATCTTCAAGGGTTGTCTGTATGACAGAGACAATGTCTCTAAAACTGTACTTTAGTGACTGACTGCGTGAAAGTTGCATGCCGCAGTTAGACAAATTACACCTATTTCCCGTATCTACTGTGTATAGTTGAATTAGATGATTGGCGTGAAAGGTAAATAGTTGGTCCATTGCTCATCCAGCCCTTGTCACCTCGATAACTGTATCGGTCCTACACATACCTGACGTAAATAGCTTATGAAACCCAGATTACAGACAAGACGTTATCCCATGGATATAACCTCTACAGAGAGGTGGACAGCGGTGTGAATAACCTCGCCTGCAGCCACCATGGAGTCCACGCCTCTGCTTCAAGTTCACAAAGATTCAGAAGACAGATCCAAGCTGGGCAATCTCCTCAAAGCCAACATCGTGTTGCTGATCTTCCATTTATCTGTCAATATGCGGAGTCCAGTTCTCTCTCAGTACCTGTACCAGCGTTACTTAAGCGAGCTGGTGGACAATGGAACAGACAGTTTCTCCACCAACGCATCATCAAAATGTTTCGTGAACAAATCAGATCCAGCATACCAAACTCACGTTCAGGCAGAAGAAATGAGCAACAACTTGACGATTATGTTCAGCTACATTAGCGTACCGTTATGCATTATAACCTCCACGCTGCTTGGTTCGTACTCTGACTTTATCGGTCGACGGATTCTGTTTGTGGTTCCATTGATGGGCGAAGGTCTTCGTAATGGACTGTGTACAGTGATCATGTACTGGGACATGGACTTGAGATATATGTACATCGGGGAAGCCATCACAGGGATTACGGCTGGATACAATGGTGTAAGTCTAGCCAGCTATGTGTACACCGCTGACAATACACCACCTAAAGCATCCAGGACGGTTGGAATGGCTGTTCTGGACTTCACAACCTACTTCGCTGCAGCTCTATCTCAAGCAGGGACTGGATACTTTATCACATATATGGGTTTTGTTTGGCCTACCTTTGTCACAGCCGCTCTCGTATTCCTCTCAGTATTCTTCGTTGTTGTGCTTCTTCCAGAAACAGTTCCTCTTGAAAAGAAACAATCGCCTTGCGTTGCGCCAACTAAAGCTATTAAGAACGTTTTTGGATTCTATTTCTCCAAAGACTTTGGCAGAAAGAGGTCATTGTTTTGGATAGCTTTCATAGCGCTCTTCGTCACAAGTGTGGGCAATTCTGGCACGGGATATATAGATTACATGCTGGTTCTTAATCAACCATTTTGCTGGGGACCGGAGATGATTGGCTACGTCAACATGGCGGCCATGCTGCTAAACCAGTTCCTGAGTGTTGGTGTGGTCAAGCTGTTTCACATGTGTTCAACTGACGAGATGATCGCCATTGTGACGGCACTGGTCAAAGGCGGCTCTGATGTTCTTCATGGTCTGGCCTACACTGATTATATGATATATGTTCGTAAGTGGTTTGTGTTTTGTGTTTGGGGGGATGGTTGATTTCATTAGTACCGTCATCACTCAGCTGACACTCAGTCATATGACAGGGGAAAATGTTTACAATTTTAAATGATGCAATGTTTAGAATTAATGGTTAGGTTAATTTCATCATATGAAAGCAACATTCTTCATTTCGTAATTGCACAATGCCTTTTAGAAAGTGGTCAAATGTAAGATATATAATAAGTGTAATCCCAAATACAATATATCCCGTTTTCGATTACGTTAATATAGAAATGATGGCGTAAAATAATTTACTTTTTCCAAATATATTTTGTACCATCGCGGCATAGTTCGTTCATATTCCCGTGCTACTTACAACACCCGTGAAGATCCGGGTCAGAATCTTCAGTAACCATGCTTCTCGTAAGGGGTTCACAGACTTGCTTGATGCATGTCACCGTATCCAAAACTGAGTATGTTTATGACCTTGAGGTCACTCATATACATTGAACATTGCTGATTGCGGCTTTAAACAACAACAAATATTATAGGTTTCAAAAAATGACATTTCTTTCAAAGTGAAAGGAGTTTTGAGTGGTATCTTCATAAAAACCCATCCTTTTGGAGACAGCAGTTGCTCTGTGAAGATCTTCTCTCGGTTTTGCTGAATGCGGCTGTTATTTTGTCCTACAGAGACCGTTCTGTCAGCACTGGCTGCTCCAATGATGCCTGTAATCAGAGGGATCGTGTCAAGGATGGCTCCAGGAGACGTTCAGGGTAACACTCATCATTCTTCTCATAAAGTGTCATAAAATATGGGGGCGGTGGGTAGCCCAGTGGTTAAAGCGTTCGCTCGTCACGCCAAAGGCCCGGGTTCAATTCCCCAAATGGGTACAATATGTGAAACCCATTTCTGGAGTCCCACGTCGTGATATTGATGGAATATTGCTAAAAGCGGCGTAAAACCCAATTCACACGCTCAGTAAATGTGAATATGAATGGCGTGAATAAGAAGGCTTGAGTATTGCTATTTGTAACGTAAAGCCATTCCAGCTTACTCACACTTCAAAGAGCTAATACGTCATCCAAGAGGTACGTCGTTGACTGCTTCCTGAGTTATCTTTTCTTTCGTAAGAGGCGACTAATGGCATCAGCTGATCAAGCTCACTGATCACATGGGTGTCAACCGTCAGTTAATGACTAATTATTTCACTTAATTATTACCATTTCTGATTTTTTTATTTTATTTGAGACGCCGGATGGGTAATGGGGTAGCCAAGTGGTTAAAGCGTTCGTCACGCCGCAGACCCGGGTTTGATCCTCCACATGGGTAGAATGTGTGAAGCCCATTTCTGGTGTCTCTCGGCGTGATATTCCTGGAATATTCCTTAAAGCGGCGTAAAATCACACTCACTCACTCACTCACCCACTCACTCACTGAGATGACTATCGGTTGATGTTGGTGTTACGTCATACACTGATATTAGTTTCACTCGTTCAGGCTCTTTGTTTGCGGGACTGACCGTGGCGGGGGCTGTGGCGTCTATGATGGGGATGACGATATACGGGGCCGTGTACGATGCAACCGTGGAGACGATGCGCGGATTCGTCTACTACACGTGCGGTGGAACACGCGCCCTGACAGCCGCCATACTTGTGTAAGTAGGAAAAGCCATTATACTTCGTAACGTGTATCCATAGAGGAGATTCTGTGTAGATTCTGTTTCATAGCAATCATGTTCACAAGGGTTAATGCATAATGAGATTTTATTGCTGTGAAGTTTGACAAGTGTTGATGTATAGCAATAGTGTTATAGGGTGTTTTATTGACGTAAAGCAATACTGTTACATGGTGTATTGACGCATAGCTAACCCGTTATTGGGTACCTTATTGACGTAAAATGCTTTTACGGAGTGTTTTATTGACGCATCACAAAACTGTTACAGGGTGTTTTATTGACGCGTAACAAAACTGTGTTAATACATGGTGTATTATTGACGTAAAGCAATGGTGTTACAGGGGATTTTTTTACGTAAAACAAACCCGTTACAGGGTATTTTATTAACGTAAAACAGTACTGTTACATGTGTTTTATTAACGTAAAACAGGACTGTTGCAGGGTGTTATATTAACGTAAAACAATATTGCTATAGAGTGTTCTATCGACGTTAAGCAATGCTATTACAGGATGTTTTATTGACGAATAACAAAACTGTTACATGGTGTTTTATTGACGCGTAACAAAACTGTTACATGGTGTTTAGTAACGTAGAACAAAACTGTTCCATGGTGTGTTTTTTACGTATACTCGCCATCAAAAGTTTAGACTCACTAGTGTAAATGTAGCCACCTACTTAAGTCAACACTTCTAAACTAGATTTTGCAACATTTATCATACTGTTTAAAGGTACTGTTTACACATGAACTGATGTATTGTAAAACAAATTCGAGACGTTGAAAAGATTATTGTCATGGGTTAAAAAAAATGATGAAACTGAGAGAAAATAGCCGAATTGTTAACAAACTTTTACACCACAGCACAGCTGTTCACATGCACGATATTTGCACATGCTTTTTAGCAATTTAATGCATGATCCTCAATTCATCTGCATAAAGTTTTGCAGTTCGTTCCCCAGAGTTAGTGGAGAAATTCATCTTCGATGTAACCACACATATATCCATAACATATAGTAAGTGCTTTAAGTGAGTCTAAACTTTTGATGGGTAGTATATAACAAACCCGTTACAGGGTGTTTTATTTACGTAAAGCAACTGTTAGATGGTCTTTTGTTAACGTATAACAAAACTGTTACATGGTGTTTTATTCACGTAAAGGAATACTATTACAAGGTGTTTTATTAACGCATAACAAAACTGTTACAGGGTGTTTTACTGCGTGGCGCCGGGGATACTACGCCAGATCAAAACCGAGACGATCATTATCAACGACCAGGACGAGAGGGCACACATCGCCAAATCGCCCAAGAAGCCAGTTCTGGATTCTGAAGTGTAATGTTAGATCTGGGACTATGTGCAAATCTTTCGTATTAGGGTATTTTCCTTGTTGACATAAGACTATACTTTAGCTATAAATTCTAGCTTTTTGGAATAGCTGATGATCTGACTATAGAAGATTCAAAAGTGTTACTGGTACATTGAGAGAGTGAGTGAGTGAGTTGGATTTTTACGTCGCTTTTAGCAATATTTCAGCAATATCATGGCGGGGGACACCAGAAATGGGCTTCACACATTGTACCCATGTGGGGAATCGAACCCGGGTCTTCGGCGTGACAAGCGAACGATTTAACCACTAGGCTACCCCACCGCCTCAGTAGTACACTGAACAACGCCATGTTCGGATTATGTCACGTTATTTGAATCGACCCGTGTACAAGGGTAGCGCCCCTTAGTTCTTGCATAGACCATAGTTTATGTTTTTTTTTGCATAGTTTTTGTATAGTATTGTAGGCATTGTACTCGATCACCCTGATGAATTAAATGATTGGATCTTCCATTTAATTAAATAGATTAAACACAAATTTGTTTTGAGCAAAACAAAACGAAAATAGGCATGTTGCTCAATTTTTTAAAATTCAACAGTATCACGACATCGGTCGGTTGGACACATCAGTGTGATTAGGGTCTATGTTGGAATCCTGGTTACAATACCTCTCTTTGTCACCATCAGCCATAATATATCAAGTATCATTTGGTTGGAGTAAGTAAATAGATGGTTAATTTACAACTCCCATATATCGCTGTTATTCCAAGCACTGCTTACCAAAACCAGCTTATTTGCAAAAAGTCACAGCGAGTGTGTGTGTGTGTGTGTGTGTGTGTGTGTGTCTGTTTTGTTGTGTGTGTGTGTGTGTGCGTGCGTGCGTGCGTGCGTGTGTGTGTGTGCGTGCGTGCGTGAGTGTGTGTGTGTGTGTGTTTTGGTGTGTGTGTGTATTCGTGTGCGTGCGTGTGTGTGTGTGTGTGTGTGTTTTTTCGTGTTCGTGTGTGTGTGTGCGTGTGTGTGTTCGTGTGTGTGTTTGTGTGTGTGTGTGTGTGTGTGTGTGTGTGTGTGTGTGTTCGTGTGCGTGCGTGCGTGTGCTCCAGCTGTGACTGTCATTTTTCAAGGCTAATGTTTTGAAACTTTTCACACGACCTATCAAAACATTCGTTGCATTCAAAGTTACAAATATGAATAGTTTATGCAAACAAAATGTTTTAAACTTTTAAAGAATTGTGAAAAAAAAACAATCCCTCAAAAGGTTGAATTTGAAATGCGACTGGTGACGTTTTAACATTAAAGGGGGGTAACTCTTCATCTTGCTACTGCGATTAAATGTTAACCAGATCTCTTCTTTGTAAATACCGGCAAATGTGGTGTCGTCTTGTCATAAATGTTTGAATGTTCTGTAAAAGCTGATATTTGAATAAATCCAAGTTCTTCCTAAATAATTTTTTTTAAAACTACATAAAACTGGTACAGACACCTTGCGAGAGATTGAATGAATCGCCTTGAAATCTCACCATACATAGTTGCCTTCCTTACAGAATTATTTGTTGTAATTGTGGGCCATATGCTCGGGCCCTGCTCGACTGGTGTCATTCTCGTGCTGATGGCTCCACACTGGTAGAACCCTGCGAAGATCCGGGTTAGAACTGATCTTCAGCAACCCATGAAATAGGCGATTAACGGGATCGGGTGGTCAGGCTCGCTGACTTGGTTGATACACGTCATCGCATCCCAATTGCGCAGATCGATGCTCATGCTGTTGATCACTGGATTGTCTAGTCCAGACTCGATTATTTACAAACCGCCGCCATATAGCTGGACTATTGCTGAGTGAGGCGTTAAACAACAAACAAAGAAACTTACTCTGGTGGTGTGCATGACGCGTCCGAAGAGCAGCGTTCAAGCCACTCACTCACTTATTGAGGTAACTATGTCCTATTGAAGATGTATAATGTGTCTGATGGTAATATGTAACTTAGAGTAACGTAATTTGTTATCCAGCAGTACCCGTTTCTTCTCAGACACCTCCACCACACCATAATATCATCGCAGGGAAATTTTTAGACCGAGTCTGACGTGTATTCACGAGTGTTCTGCAGAATTCTTATTATATACATCCACTATCAACATGAAATAGGAGCTATAAATATGTGTGGGCTCATTCCGTGGACAAAGAGGTGTTTTTTATTGTTTGGGGGGGATTTCTTATTGGGTTTTGTGTGGGAGTTTGATTTGTCAGGAGTGAGCAAGGGGACACTAGACACTGGGGAATCGAACCAGGGCCTTTAGCGTGACGAGCGACCACTGTAACCACTTGGCTACCACACCGCCCTGATTTGTCAGGAATATACTCTGATCACGGATGTTTTAGAACTTCAACACTGCGCTTTTCTGCCACATCAGTTAAGAACGATGTGGGAGGGTGGGGGATAACCTAATGGTTAAAGCGTTCACTCGTCACGCCGAAACCCCGGGTTCGATTCCCCACATGGGTACAATGTGTGAAGCCCATTTCTGATGTCCCCCCGCCGTGATATTGCTGGAATATTACTAAAAGCGGCGTAAAATTGAACTCACTCACTCACTAGAACGATGTGACATCCTTGCAATTCTTCCCAGGCTGGCGGTAACCAACTGACTCAACAGCATGAAAACTAGGCGTTAATGAATACATTCAACATAGAAGGAATTAAATCATTTAATTAAATTATTAGTAATAATTATTACCCAGCCCATTTTATGTAGAAATTTCCGACCTGCCTAGACCTGTCTTATGAGGAGTGAGTAAGTGAATATGTTTTTAGGCCGCTTTCAGCAATATTCAAGCAACATCATGGTTGGAGACATCAGAAATGGGTTTCACCAATTGTACCCATGTGGGGAATCAAACCCAGGTCCTCGGCGTGACGAGCGACCGCTTTAACCACTAGGCCGAACCCTTGTCATGAGGAAAGATTTTGTTTCCTCTGTTTGCTAATATTAGGTATTCACAGCAATCTGTAAATCAGTTAGTTAGGGGCGGTGGGGTAGCCTAATGGTTAAAGCGTTGGCTCGTCACGCCGAAGACCCGGGTTCGAATCCCCACATGGGCACAATGTGTGAAGCCCATTTCTGGTGTCCCCCGCCGTGATGTTGCTGGAATATTGCTAAAAGCGGCGTAAAACCAAACTCAGTCAGTCAGTCAGTGTAAATCAGTTAGAACAACTTTCTTTTGCACGGACGTGGCTGATTGTTAATTTGTTTCAGGGTTTATCCGTGTGCTTGCGTCAACGGTAAATCCTAGACAACACCATAAAGCAAGACACAAACACACGAGGTGTAAAGTGGTAGTGGGGTAGCCTAATGGTTAAAGCGTCCGCTCGTCATTGACCAGGGTTCGATTCCCCACATGCGTACAATGTGTGAAGCCCATTTCCGGTGTCCCCCGATATTGCTGGAATATATCTAAAAGCGGCGTAAAACCGTACTCACTCACTCACTCACTCACAATGTGTAATAGGTGGAAACTGTACATTCAATACAAACACGTTGGGTTCTAATGCATTTGGATTTCACATTTGTTATATTTGTTAAATAGGCTGATGACGTCACGTCATCCAACGGCTCTCATTGAAACATCGTTTGTAAATCAGGATACGTATATCATAGAAAACGTTTTATCAAGTCAGAAACATAGTGCCGTTAGTTCAATGACACGTGTTTTGACGGTGTGTGCCGAGTTGTTTACATGTATTACGATGTACATTTCACTGCTAGTGATAATACAAATATGTGTCAGAGAGTCTCTAATCTGCACTTTGGTCCTCCCCGATTGGCTAGTGCGCCAATTGTGTCATGTCAGTTGTGATGACTGACTGACTGAGTTTGGTTTTACCAGTTGTGATGAAGTGTCGCGCCTGTCACGTACAGTTACAGGTGATAGTGACAACAATGCTTGTAAATATACTGAAGCCACAAACAGTGTTTACATCATCATGACGTTGGATTCGCACATTCAAACCATGAAAATTAGTGAGCGAGCGACTTTAGTTTTACGCCGCTCTCAGCAATATTACAGCTATACGGCGGCGGTCTGTAAATAATCGGATCTGTACCAGACAATCCAGGGATCAACAGCATGAACATCGATCTACGCAATTGAGATACGATAACATGTCTCAACCAAGTCAGCGAGCCTGACCACCCGATCCCGTTAGCCGCCTCTTACGACAAGCAAGGGTTACTGAAGATCAATTCTAACCCGGATCTTCACGGGTATTGCAACCATGAAAAATAATAAAATCCATATGTTCATAAACAAAGGACAGATTGAAAAGATATATTGACCTTATTTTTACCACTGATAGATTTTAAGGTTTGTATATTGTTGAAGCTTTTTTCCAGGTTGTTTTTGTTTTACGTCGCACTCAGCAATATTACACCTATATGGCGGCGGTCTGTAAATAATCGAGTTTGGAACAGACAATCCAGTGATCAGTATCATGAGCATCGATTGGGACACGATCACGTGTCGACCACCCGATCCCGTTAGTTGCCTCTTACGACAAGCATGAGTTGACCAGTTCCAACCCGGATCTGGTCTAGATCCTGGCCATGACAAGAGCTTCGCAGCAGCAGAAATATGCAACTAAATATGTGTATCCATTTCCTGGTTCCTGTAGGTGCATTTCCAAAGTGATCATATGACAGACAGAAAAACAGTAAACCCATAAATGAATATATCATTTATTATCTTCTCATAATAACGTTGATATCAGTTTTGACCCCCATCACCCATTAAGTCTTTGTTCAGTAAATTTATAATCTCTTCGTTGTCAGTTTTACTGAAAACTCATTTGTGACGGAAAGGCATCCAGATGTGATGTTCGAAATTTTTGCAAAGTTGGTTTTCACAGGTGGTACCAGTATGCCAATGTATGTGCCAGTATGTTGTAGTGTTTCTAATAGACTAAGAGTGCAAGAAACGCCATACAGGTGCTTAAATACGAATGCAGTCAAACACATACGGGCTTTGACCCATGGTCTCCTCCCCCCAGCTACTACGAACGGTGTCTATCCTCCCCTATCCACACACCACACACCCCGCCTCCAAAATCCCAAAATCTTCAACCAACAGCCTAAATCTCTCCCACCTTCGTCAGTCTTCCACTGACGCTATCCTATCCATATTATAGCGTCCATCAGCCGTGCACGCTCACTACTACCCCCAATTGTGACCTCCTTCTATCTTTCCCTACCTATTTTATTCTTCACCATCACCCTCAAACGTCTCCTGCAACATCTGTGACCAAATCCAACGTTATCCCAATCCCGCAACCAGCTCATTCCGCCTTACCGCCCTCCATGTCCCCAGCTGTGAGAGTCCCGAGTGTATCATACTGATCTTTCGATGGGGCACATATGCCCAGTTGTAAATTTTCAGTGCAAATTATAACGGGAAGACAAATGACACACTGAACACTAAACATTGCCCTGCAACACTCACTGCATTACTCAAGTCTGTTTGTCAGTTGTAATTTTTCAGTGCAAGCAATAATTGGACGACTTTCGACACATAACACACTGCACACTAAACATTGTCTTGAAACACCTTTCTCACTCACTGCATCACGAGAGTCTCTTTGTCAATTGTACATTTTCATTGTATGTTAAAATAGTGAGACATTCGACGTATAACACATCAAACACTAAACATTGTCTTGCAACACCCAGTCTCAATCACTCCATTACCCAGATCGGACTGTCGGTGCTTCGGTATTGGATCATCATCCGTTGGTTAAAGGTTGTACCGGAAACTCCGTCTTCCACAGTCAGTTAATGTTCAGCCACCAGCACATTCCTTGAACAAGTGGATTTATCCTTGAATAGAGAAAAAACATCAGAAACAAGACGGCTAAGAGATGCCAAATGTTTGTTTCCAATTTATATTTCATTCACGCAAGACAAATTTATTCTGAAAGCGATCCACTATTATAACCATAGATCAGTGTAAATCTAAATTTCATTCTCACCTTCCCGGGGAGAATACAGTCCAAGCTTATGTTTAGCATGCCACAGATAGCTATTAACAATTGTGTATGCAAACAAACATGTATTTTTGTATATGGCGTTTCGTCCAAACCAACAGGTATTTGTTATGTAAAGTTTTCTCCCAGTCCACCAGGTTAGATCACCTCTAGACTTTCGAATCCTCTTCTGCTGTGGAGGTGCTTGGTACGGACTCCTTGTTATCCTGTATATTGATGATCTCAGTCTGCTGCATGTACCCCATCTTGCCGAGCACGGCGAACCCACTGAAACCAGTAACAACCACCATCACAACCAATACAAAATAGGAGGAAACCACATCTTCTCTCTGGCAAGGGATCAGTTGACTATAAAAGAACATTTCCACGCTTGCAGAACGATGCCTGTCGTGTGGATTTGCTTGTGGGGAGCTTGACTAACGGCTCTTGTCGCACTTGTTCACATGCTTCACAACATGGCCACTTCAGTGCAGAAGTCTGTCGACTGCAGGATTTACAGGGTTTCAGTACCATCAGTCGAGAGATATTTTCAAATCATTTCATGTTTTTAATCAAGGTTTTTGAGTGTTTTGATATATTTAGCGAAGTATGATCTGTTTTATTATAATGAAAATCTTCATTGCCGATCAGATCATCTTTTAGTGGTCTTTGCTATTTTGATTGAAGCGAATACAACTGATGTGAGATGTGGAATCGGATTGGTCAATAGGTGGAGCAGCGAAGGGTGAGCCAGTGGTGGTTAAAGGTGGACACTGAACTTTAATGGTCTGTAAATTCCCATGCCTCGGGAAGATTTGGAAAGCCTTTACAAGGAATTCGTCCAGAATTACGGACAATTGGAACCAAAAACGACGGTCTGTTCACACTTGTCTGTGTCATGAATCAAACCCAGGTCGCGGATGAGTGAAAGTTTCAAGGTTACCCCATGGTCGCAGTTTAAGAAATTTGGATTTGTGTAATGTACCTGCGTGCACTGGTGAAATACATTGTACGTAAGTGTGCTTCACACAAAGTGGTTTAAATGTTATGCTATCGAAAATGACAACATAATAATTAGTCATAAGTCTGAGCTATATGACAAAAGCGACATCTGAGAGCAGGGAACGGGCCCTGAAACAAGCTTGACTCAATGTCAATAACGGGTGTGAACACCTTTTCATTGATACAGGCGATCTGCAATGATGATCAGATGATTGAAAACAGCCCAGGAGATGTTGCTAAAAAGTCAACCAAAGACTGGTACAACTGAGCTAGCGTTACCGGTCGGTTCCGGTCTTGTTGTAGGCGTCATTGCATCTCAGCCAAGACATGCCCTAATGGAGTTGTCTGGAGAGTGCAGCAAGGTTATGTTGCCTCAAAATGTTTGTTACGATACATAAGTATAATACTACTGCAACAAGAGGTTACGTCCTTGCATGTGCAAAGAGGGAATAGCGAATGCCACCTCATACCATTGCACTTCCATCCCAATCTCCTGAACGCATGTGTACCCAAGCACGGTATTCATGAGCTATTCAGGTGAAACCTGGAGTCATCTCTGAACAGGATTACTGTCCAAGCCTTGTCTTCTGAAGAACCTCAAATGCAGAACCAAGCATGAATGACGTATCGTCGAAGCAAAACCTGGTCGGAATTTGCACCTCATCAGCCGGTTGTGTACGCTTCTGCCACTAATCTGTTGCAATCCAAGAATTGTCCAAAGTGTAAATGTGGCACTTAGGTATCGATTCAGTGGATGCATAAACCGAATATGGCCGTGACACGTGGACGACCAGCCCGTGGCTAGCTATGAGTGCTGCTCTCGTGTAGATAAATTCTCCAAAGAGATGTACTGAATTCTCATGAACATTACCATTTCTGGCAACTTCTGGAAATACCGGAAGCGTTATTTAAACAAATATGTCTTTATAAGCACTCGACAGGTAAACAATCATCACTTGTAGCTCACATTAAAAACACACGTGGATGAATATCATGTTAACAGCAAAGAAACAAAATATCAAAATTAAAATTCACGTCCACACTGTAAATCACAATCTTAAAGCCGAGGTGTCTTAAAAAGATGCACAATTTATTGAACATTATATAATTTGCTTGTTCGTTCAGTCGTTCGCACTAGGAAATATTCAGGCTATATGATGGTGCTCTGTAAATTATTCTCACCAGACCATCCAGTGATTAACACCATGAGCATTGAACTATGCAATTGGAATGGGATGGTATGCATCATCCGAGCCTGACCACCCGATCTCGTTAGTTGCCTCTTACGACAAGCACGGGTTGCTGAAGACCAGTTCTAACCCGGATCTCCACGGACGAACATAATAGTGAGATCCTCATAGAACTGTTGACCTAGCGCCTCACAGGTACCTTCGTTGACCGGGATAATAATGTATTAACATAATATTAAAGTATGGAAAATGCGCCTTATAAATGGATAAGTTGTATATGAGTGAGTGAGTTTAGTTTTACGCCGCACTCAGCAATATTCCAGCTATATGGCGGCGGTCTGTAAATAATCGAGTCTGGACCAGACAATCCAGTGATCAACAGCATGAGCATCGATCTGCGCAATTGGGAACCGATGACATGTGTCAACCAAGTCAGCGAGCCTGACCACCCGATCCCGTAAGTCGCCTCTTACGACAAGCCAAATCGCCTTTTATGGCAAGCATGGGTTGCTGAAGACCTATTCTACCCCGGATCTTCACGGGTAGTTGTATATGAAGCATGGCTACTTCAGTATATATGCACGCATGGTTCTAGAATACAGGAATTTAATTTTGGAGCTGAAGTATAATAGTGTATGTGCGGGATAGGAACTAGTTATACGTACACCAAACAAATCGTGGCCGTACACTGGAGTCCTGCAGAAACAAGGTAGGTAACTCCTTTAAAGATGTCCAACGTATACTTGTAGATCTCGCTGAACATCGGGGTCCCCGTGATAGAGGTAATGATGTTGGCAATGGCTAGGCTGGAGAACACGGCACCTGAAACAATAGCTAAAATATACAATAATAATCACAATAATAATGCATTTCCAACCATAAGGATGTTCAAAGCGCACAATCTGATTATTATTACCCCAAATAACCCTAGCTGCCTGTGAGGCGCTAGAAGATAGTCATATGACTTATCCCACCGGGTACCCATTTTCTGCTGGGTGAACAGTAAACACAAATTATATATATAATGGACAGAATGGTTTTCAAAGTGCATTAGGAGACGCATACCTTGTCGATCAGTCCCGGTCATGCTTGAAACCATGGATTTAATAATGGTCGAAACAGACAAATCAAATGCCGACATGAAGGCCACTGAAATAAATCAATTTATTACATTGTCAAAATATATTCTTGTTGTGATACTTTTTCCTGAACCAATAATAGTAATAACTTCCTCGTACAGAATGATGGGTACTTAAAAGCATTCAGCTAGTTCTTCAAGCTGGATTTGGGTACAATGTGTGAAGCACAATTCTGGTCGCCCCCGCCCGTAAACACTCACCACTCACTCACTCACTCACACGGGATTACCATCTGGTGCTCAATTCAGAACAGTCATATGTATTATGGCAGTTATGACCCCGTTCTCATTGCAGAGTGACCCCAGCCTCTGTAGAGCTTACCTCCATACATCATGAAGTTGTCATAGGCAAATGCCTTCAATATTATGGATCCCGTATAGGCGAGGTTGCTCCAAATAGCGATGAACTGATCGGTCAAGCAGCATTGACACAGCTTCAAGAGAGGGAGTTTTATTACCTCGGCGAATATGGAGGATGCAGTGCTGTAGTAACCCATCATCTCGGGGCTCCAACAGAAAGGGTAGTTCATCTCCCACAGGGTACCAATATTTCCTGTTTTTCCTGCAATTTCGTGGAGAAAATATGCAACCAAAGCCAGCGAATACATAACTCGAAGTTTGACAGTACCTTCGAAAAAGTAAAAGCTAAACACGTTTCTCACAGCTCTAAGGGGATTCAGGATTTTTTTCTCCTCGAGTTTCTGCTTCCGTAGTTTGGATGAAAGGGCCACCTTTTTCTTTTCCGGGAGGATGAAAACAACGGCAAGTATCGTGAGAACCAAGATGGCCGCTGCAGTGAGGGACGGAAGGACGAACCCTTGCAGTTGGATGTAGTAGCCAACGCCGGTGGACAATGCTGCACCTGTCAATGTCTCCGTAATGGCAACCGCAAGCAGGGCAACGGTTCTGGTCCCTTTTGGAGGCGTGTTGTCCGCGACGTATGCGTAGCAAGCAATGGAGAAAATCTCGGATGTGCAAATGCCAGTAAGGGTTGCTGTTACAAAAAATAATTTGATGTCAAGGGACCATTGTATGACTATTGTCACTAGGGCATAATCTATCACATGTCCAAATAAGGGCACCAGGAACAACATCTTTCTTCCAAAATAATCGGAATAGGCGCCGAACAGGACCGTGCTGACCAGAGCAAAAGCACAGCTCACCAAGGAGAAGTACATGTTCATCTGAGATGTAAGTTTTTGTGCTTCTTCTTGAAGAGAGTACCCGCTGTTACCATCAGAGTCGCTTTCATTCGCGGAGGGTTTAAAGCATAGGGTGGCATTCAAGGTAGTTGAATTGTGTCCCGACGGCAGTGTGCTGTTGCCGAGGACTTCCTCCAGGATTCGTCGATAAAGGTATTGCGAATATACAGGAGAATGCATGTGGTTAGCAATGGTCCAGATGATTTGAATTATGTTCAGCAACACTATATTCATTATCTGTACTTTGGCAACACCCTTGTCTTTATTCGTCTCTTTGTTCAGGAAAACCTCATCGTCACTTCCTCCACTCTTCTGTCGGTTGAGAATCCTGCAGATCTCATCTTCATCTATGTCAGTTCTTTGATCAAGACTTGTTTGGGGTCTTCGACGCTTCGAGCTATTGGTCCATCCATCATCACTGTCATCTGATTCTACAGAACGCTGGAGTGGTGGTGCCGACTTTGGCCTGACCCTAACTGGGACGATCCTTGTATCTACACTGGTGAGGCTATCATCCCAGGATATCTGTCTGCGACTAAGCGGATCACAATCCTCTGCTGACTCAGAGAATTGGATTTTACCGCCAGCAGTTCGTTCTAGATTTCCTCCCAGAAGGGGCGTCCTCTCGCCCATCTTTGCTGTTGATGATCTAGGTAAGTGTTCCAGCTACTACAGATGTGTCGTACTGTTTATATCTCATATCATACCACGGATATGATATGTCAGGTACATCACATGCCGAACGATCTCCAGGGATGTGTAACCGACTGTTATCTTTTGTCCTCCATGGGTGTAAACTCTCCAACCGTGCACTTCTATCGTAGACATGAAATTAAAAATAATATTCTGTCTTGGCAATTACACGACTCATTGATTTTTATGCACCTGGGATATAAGGAAGGGAATGATTTGTCCTGAAACAAGCCTACCAGTCACGGGACAGGTGGTAATCTTACCTTGGTCATATGACAGCACGAGGAAGGTAAAATTCTGTGTTTCCTTGTGATAAGACGATCAGGCTGGCATATAACCCATATAGGTTATAGACCCATTTATGACATTGCTCTTCCCTGATTCAATGTTATGATATGTCATGTGAGTGTGTTTGGTTTGCACTAGTTGTTGCGCAGATAAGCTCAGGTATGGCCCTGGCGGCTATTTATCGGTTGAATCTGGGGTATCCTGGTTTCGACCACTACAAAAACATCTCTAACCCGCAATTTATCAAGATATAATCTATTTTCAGTGTTTTAGTTTATAAAATTTTAATCCTGAATTGATTCCTTCTTTGTCATGTGTGTAATCCATTAATTTGTAAGACCCGTGAAGGTCCGGGTTAGAATATTGATCTTCAGTAACCCATGTTTGTCGTAAGAGACGACTAACGGGATCGGGTGGTCAGGCTCGCTGACTTGGTTGAAACATGTCATCGTATCCCAATTGCGTAGATCGATGCTCATACTGTTAATCACTGGATTGTCTGGTCGAGACTCGATTATTTACAGACCGCCGCCATATTACTGGAATATTGCTGAAAAGGGTATAAATCCTAACTTATCACTTTCTTTACGTAAAAAAAATATTAGGGATCGACCACGGCATAAATCCTGAAAGAGAGACTTGTTAGAAGGTATTGTTTTATTTCTTTGCGGTTTAACTCAGCAATATTCTAGCTATATATCGGAGGTGTGTAAATAATCTACGACCAAACACGCCAATGATCAACATCATGAGCATCGATCTATGCAATTGGTATACGATGTTAGAATTGATTAATTTCCGCTACTGTTAGCAATAAACCATCAAACTGGCGGCGGGTACGACCAATTCAGGGAATCGAACCCGGAATAGAGAATGAACGTGAGTGAGTTTAGTTTTACACCGCATTCAGCAATATTCCAGCTATATGGCGGCGGTCTGTAAATAATCGAGTCTGGACCAGACAATCCAGTGATCAACACCATGAGCATCGATCTGCGCATTTGAGAGAGAGAACGGACGTCAGTAATGTCGAGGAAGAAGGTGCTCGGTATGCATGAAACAGATCACTTTGTGTGACCGGTGGCACGTGTGTTGTTCCATGATGTGACTGCAACACTGTTAAAAAAATACCTTAACCCCAGGCCCTCACTCATTGCGACGTTCTAAAATTAACCCCAAAGAATGGAAACCAATAGGAAGATAATTACATATTGGTTGGTTGGTGTTTAGCGCCGCTCTCAGCAATATTTCAGCTATATGGCGGCGGTCTGTAAATAGACAATCCAGTGATCAACAGCATGAGCATCAATCTACGCAATTGGGATACGATGACATGTGGCAACCAAGTCAGCGAGCCTGACCACCCGATCCCGTTAGTCGCCTCTTACGACAAGCATGAGTTGCTGAAGACCAATTCTAACCCGGATCTTCACGGGTGATAATTGTATATCAACAGTGTGCGTGCGTGCAAATTATTGTACGTGTATTGTCAAGTATTGCTTGGGCAAGAAGAAGGGGAAGCGCTTAAAAGCCCAATACCACCTTCATTCCAAACTCGATCTCTATTCCTGACTACGAGACCAGAACTCTGTTCTGCCAAGTAGAGATAGCCTAACCCCATCGCGAAATCATTCGACTGAAGTTCCTTCTAACTAATGACAGACCGCCTCCGTGATGTAGTGGTTAGAGCGTCCGCCCGGAGAGCGGAAGGTCGCGGGTTCGATCCCCGACCGCGTCATACCAAAAGACGTTAAAATATGGTACTTGTTGATCCCTGCCTGGCGCTCGGCATTAATGGGTACAACAAGGACTGGTCGGCTCGGAGTCAGTATAATGTGTCTGAGTGGGGTATTCATGCTTCACTGCGGCATGGTATGTCAGTGGGCTAGCACTATAAAACCAGCTTCAGTTTGGGCTAGTACAAGCAGCCGCACATACACATACACACGCATGCACGTCGTCATATGAGCGAAATATTCTCAAGCACGACGTTAAACCCAATTTCACCTCACCTCTAACTAATGACAACAAACAAATGAATAGTAGATAACAAATATTTATATATAAGCCCGTTAGATAAACACATTCCAAGAAATGACTATACAGAGATAATATGTGTGACATCTATGAGATAACTCGCCTAACCGTACAGCTGATAGTGCTTGAGTACATGGTTCAACAGATGTGTGTAGAAATATGTGTATATTCTGTCCAATGTTGCACATGCAGTACTCAAAGCGCCGATTGCATGAGATTAATATATACACATATATGATATTTCCAAAAATTATATCCATTTTATAGCCTATATACACATATATGGTATATCCAAAAATTATATCCAAGCGCTGCCTATTTTAAGCTTTATCATATGATGGTGAACGAATTCAGTGAATGCGTGAGTGAGTTTAGTTTTACGCCGCACTCAGTAATATTCCAGCTATATAGCGGCGGTCTGTAAATAATCAAGTCTGGACCAGACAATCCAGTTATCAACAGCATGAGTATCAATTTATGTAAATGGGATACGATGACATGTGTCAGCCATGTCAGCGAGCCTGACCACCCGATCCCGTTCGTCGACTCAAACGACAAGCATGGGTTGCTGAAGATCAATTCTAACCCGGATCTTCACGGGTGAATTCAATGAAAGAATTGACGTCACATTGTGCATTGTCATCTTTAGTTCACAAGTATCCATAGTTTAGATCATTCTCACAGAAGAACTTGTTACGTGTTACATCCTGCAGAATCCCATCTACAGGCATAAAAGTCTGGGACACCTGCCGTTGACGGGTCCGCAGACCAGGAAGTAGAAATGTATTCTGTATAGCTCGCGCTTTACGCGAGCAGTAAATGACGCTCGCAGCGCGTCTTATATAGAGAGAAGCACGCGAGAGCGGGCTGATCTCCATTAGGAGACATTTTAGACGAAATTAGAGGTCATTTTCGTGTTTACTGGCAAAAGTTTAATTTAAAACTTCGTCGATAGTTTTAAACACGAATTTTAGTAATGCTCCAAAACATCAATCCAATCGTTAGTAATCAAGGGGAAATCCCGATGACGTTCCTTTTCTCTGATTGGTCAATTGTGGACGAACGTGTCGAATGTTCCAAATAAAGTAGTGGGTTACTACGACTGCCACAACTTTAACGCGCACGGTTGGTGAGTAGTATTTTGCTTGTTGCTTGATTTTAATCTTGTTTATTTGACTTGCTTAGCTATGGCTGTAAGGAGAATGGTGTATGATGATTTGTATGAGCTGTGTAGAGATGAGAGAAAGGTGATGGATTGGCTGGAAGCGTTTGGTTTAATTGGAAATTTCAGTGGGAAGTGTGGGAAGTGTGACAGTGGGAGTATAGGAAAGCGAAAGGATTCGAGTCGGAGTGAGGGTTATGTGTGGCGTTGCTCAAATAAAAAATGCAATTATAAAATTGTAGCAAGGCGTGAAATTATGAAATTGACGTTTTATTGGGTTTATCACGTGAAAGAGAATTTTGTGAGAGTGCAGTTGCGTCTGGGGTCTGATCACACTTTGGTTGACTGGTTTAATTATTGCAGAGATGTGTGTTTGTTTGTGATGGAAGAGGAGAATGAGATGATAGGTGGGCCAGGGATTGAAGTGGAGATTGATGAGAGTAAGTTTTGGGAGCGAAAGTTTCACCGAGGAAGGCGAGTGGATGGTGTGTGGGTGTTTGGGGTATCGAGAAAGAAAGTAACAGGATGTTGTGGAAGTTGAGAAGCGTGATGCAGATACCTTTTGAGTGTGCTGAGAAAGTGGTGCGACTGGGATCTATAATTCATTCTGATTGTTGGAAGGCGTATGCTAGACTGAATGAGATGGGATATGAGCATGTGACAGTGAATCATTTAAGGAATTTGTGAATGCAGAGGATGGAGCGTGCATTAATAAAATTGAGAGTACGTGGAGAGCGGTGAAAGCGTCCCTGCCCAGGTATGGAACTACGAAAGGATTGTATGATAGTTATTTTGTGGAGTACATTGTGAGGAAGAAATATTTATGTTGTTCTGATGATCCTTTTGTTACATTTCTTACTTTTATCCGCCGTGTATTTGACCCCCCAAAAAACATGAATATTTTAAAACCGTTGGAAATGAAAATATAGAAAATGACGTGCAAAATGAATGATGAATTCAATTCAAGCGCAGATTTGTTCTTGTAAGGTAAGGAAATTCAATTCAAGCGCAGATTTGTTCTTGTAATTTATGGCAAGTGAAGCGTTTCGATATTTGTTATCCTAACGCTGGGAATGCTGTGCTACATATAATGAAAACTTACCCATTTTGTTTATTGTAATTGAAAATGGAAAAAGAAAGATACACGAAGCATCTAAGGGCTAAAATATTTCATTTCAACGAAACAATACATTACTCGGGTATTTGTGTGTCAGCGTCTTCTTAAAACATTGCAATTGACAAACCCAGAAAATAATACAAACCCTAAAACATTGTTGAGGAACAACGGGCTAAAGAGTCGTGCAAAAAGTATTCTGACACTTGACGTAATTTCATAGACTTACAGGTTAATTTAGAGTAGCATAAATAATTTTTATGAAATTAATTTTTGTAAGATCCAAGTCAAATGTTGCACAATTGTGAGGAATCATCTTACCTACAATCACATAATTTCTGTTTAATTTTCCGCTGCTTATTTATCGAATGGCAACAAGTTAATCAACATATGTACGGTGCCGTGCACTCCTCTAACATGGCGGCCGATGGGATTGTGCATTGTGGAACCATACGTAAGTTGATAAATATGATGTCATTAGTTAAATAGTGGTCGGAAAATTGAACTGAAATTATGTGTGCAGAGCAGAGATGATTTCAAATTTGCCTG